TTCTCTCTGTTGGACTTCTCATCAATCTTCCCCCAGACTAGGAGTTTCTCCGTGCAGGGATCTCGAGTCCAAAGGACGTGCTCTGCTCCTGGCACTACTTTCTTGGTGGTATGAGGTCCTGCACTCTCTGCTTGCTTCCCTTTCCTTTTATCTCTTGTAAGGCAAAAGGTGATGCAGGCCACACCCCAGGGAAACTTCCTTTACATTGGATCAGGGATGTGACCTTAGTAAGGGTGTTACAATTCCACCCTAACCCTCTTTAACATAAAATTATAATCACAAAATGGAGGTCAATCACACAACACTGGGAATCATGGCCCAGCCAAACTGATACACACATTTTTTGGGGGACATAATTCAATCCATGACACTGCCCAACCAGTTCCACTGTGAGAAGGGCTGCAATATCACGTCAGTGAATGCCTTTGGTCATAATTCACCATGCAATTTGGAATCTATTTCCAACCCACGGACACTTAATGAGCACTACAGGGGCATTCACGCCTGACACAGGTTTTACTAGATATTAGAGACTTTTTTTTTTTTTTACTTATTATCATTTCCTTCTGTAAAAGCGAAGGGTATTGCCTGACCACAAGCATAAATGAGATACACTCACTGGATTCTAAGCTTCTAGAGAGACCACACTGTGTATGTTTTGTTCACCATTGTATTTCTGAAGCCTAGAACAGCAGCTGACACATAGAAGGTGCTCAGTAAGTATTTATTGAATGAATGAAGCATCCTGCCCTCAAAGTGCAAGAATCAATAGTTTATAACAGACATGTAAACAATGTGATGAGGAACATATGATGGAGCTAGGTACAAAATGCTAGAAAATGCTCTACACTTTTTACAAAATTAGCAGTCTTTCCATTTTCAAGCTTATGAATCCTTCTTAGGTACAGTAATAACACGAATGGCTACCATCTATTGAGTTCTATGTGCCTGGTATTGAGTTAAGCATTTTATAAACATTACTGTATATATTCCTCACAACACCCTTATGATGCAGAAGAGGAAACTGAGGCTTAAAATGATTATAGGGTCCAAGGTCACATCGCTAATAAGCAGCACTAGTGCAAGATCTGTTTTCTAGGGCATAGTTTAATGAAAGTGGTTCTATAGACAGAATAATCTGGTCCTTGAAGGCAGGAGGGAATGGAATGGAATAGAAGTTGGTGAAATCATAGAGCAATTAGGAAGCCAGGGCAGCGGTTATCGCCTGGTGAGGTCACAAGTGGCTAAGCTAAGGTGGGAGACGATTGAACCAATCATCCATGAATCTAGTCACAGGAGGAATGAACCAATTTCGAGAGAAAAATCAAAGAAAGACCCAATGGAATCACTGAGGGATTACAGAGGTGGGGGCACGGTAGGCACTCAAGATGACTAGCAGTACTAATTAGTGGTGCCACCAACAGAACAAGAAAAAAAATTATTCACCATACATGTCAGTTAATGGCACACGTAATAATTTTTATTTTAGAAACCAATGTTCTCTTATTTAAGACTCATAATCACTCTCAGAAGTATGGACTATTATCATCTCTTTTATAGATGGGAAACTGAGGCTCAAAAAAGGTTAAGACCTTGTCCTAGTGGTCACCTAGTTGGGAAGTGTGAAGAGCCAGGATACGATCCAGGTCAGTCTGACCCTACAGCCCTAGCTGTTCACCTCTACACCCAACTGGCCCAGGATGGCATTCTAGAACATTCAAAATTAGAACCGACTAACAGAAATTTCATTTGCACAAAACTGATTAATAAAAACCACTAACTGTATAGAAAGTAGACTGTCTGTATTTTTAAAAAGATGATAGGTTTTAACTATCTAGGGCAAGAAAAAAAGTAGGATTCTAATTTTGTATACTCATACTTTTGAAGTAGAGGGATATTATGTGCATCAAGTTAACAGGCAAAACTTCTGAGTTTTACAAAATTAAGTTTAAAAATGTGAATGATCCTGCCTTGTCAGCTTAGTGACAGTGCAAGAATTCATCAGTTACATTTCAGTTCCACGTGGGGGGCGGGGGGGAGGATCTAGGTTAGTCCACCTGGCTGTAAAAATAGACTTCTGCAATGTAAAAATAGTACACTGCCTCATTATTATTCCAATCTCAAAGGCTTAAACAAGCCCAGCAAGAAAGAGGTGTATTTTCCCTGTTATCTCAACAAGGTATCAATTTTGAACTCAAAAAATGACGATTCAGTAACCAAGAACTCAAACTCAGAGTCTAACCTCCTTTCTGCATATCCCTGAAAAGTGGATCAACTCTTTTATGCATTTTCAGGGGAGGTAATTTACCAAATGATTCCACAAAAAAAGTTCCTTTAAAATTTTACACTAGTGATAGTTTATTCCCCAAAAGAGAGTGACATCAAGGAATTAAATCCTACAAGAGCTCAATGTATTTCAGTATGTTCAGACAATAAGTCTGGATGTACTACATCTGAGTTCCACAAAACAGGAGCTAAAATCAACTAATGGGATGTATACTTCCGGCACAGGGAAATTACTGTTGTTGCTGCTGTCCTTTCATTATAGTATGCTGACTGCAGCCTTAAGAACAGATTCAAAATTTTATCAGCCCACCTGATGGTTTGATGATCGTGAACTCATTTAAGTTTTTAAAAGTTTACATAAGAAAAGTTCTTATGAGTTTACAAAATTTTCACTTGTTCTCCCTATTCCTCACCCGCTCAATGATAAAAATCCTAAAAACAGATAGCCAAGAAGTCTTAACTGGGATCTCAAGAAGTCCAACAACACTCCTGTAGAATTTATGATCATGGTCTATTAAAATTCTAGTTTTCCTTGGTCTGATTTCTTTTAGTTCTCATTAGATTTCATTTGCCCAATAAGCTAATTTAGAATAATCAATACATATAATGTCTAACAGGAGCCCTGGTGGCACAGTGGTTAAAGCACTCAGCTGCAAACAGAAAGGTCGGCAGTTCAAACTTACCAGACGCCCCCCAGGAGAAAGAGCCTTGGGAACTCTATAGGGCAGCTCTACTGTGTCCTATAGGGTCGCTATGAGTCGGAATCAACCCTATGGCAACTTTTTTTTTCCTACAATGTCTAACTCAGTTTTAATACACAGGCTATTTAAAAATGAAGTATCTCCATGCTAACAGAGCAATGTGGTATGTGTGACATCCATCAGAATTTTAATGAAATTAAAGAAAGCCCTTTCACATAAGGTTGTGGTACTTCAACAACAGAGGCAGGCTAATGGAAATGGAACAACGGCAAAGACAAACTAAGTCTGCAGTTACAAGTTTGCTTTGTCACTTTCCAACTAAGTAGTTGAGCTACCAACTTTATCACCACCATTTTATAGGTTATGAAGAGTGAGTTTTGGAAAGTTTCATGCGTTCTGCCAGATCACTTAAATGAGCTCTCAGTGAGCCATCAAGGATTTCTAATCCTGTTACTTACACAAGGATCAGCACAGTTGTGACAACAGAATCCAAGCTTCCACACTCTTTCAAGTCTGAAATTTCTTCTGTCAACTTCAATATTATCCCCTCAATACGAATGCATTAGAAAAGATCTTCACCTTTTATTCACAGTTAACTGTGTTAACTAGTCATCCTTCTAGAAACTTTAACTATAGGTAACCTAAGATCTTTTATTAGTGTTTTTGTTATGGCACTTTTTTAAAAAGTGCAAAAATAAATCCCTTGTTTTAGAGGGGTGAGGAATAGGGTGGGTGCAACCAAATATAGAAACTTTCAAATTATAAAATTTTAAATTATTCTATTAAATTAACAGGTGCTAAAAAGAAAAACAGGCAAATATATACCCAGAACTAGTTACTTTACGTTGGGCAACCGATTATTTCTTCAAATTATTGACTAATCAAGTCCTTCACAAGGGGTCGTGCCACGTATGTGACACTATTGGTACTATTTTTATCCGGTTGGGCTCTTGATTTCGAAGGTGGCGGACCAGAATCTGAGCACCGGTCTACCTCTGTGGACTTTACACGCGAAGGCTGACAGCCAAACACCAAGATCTTGGCCAAGCGAGCGGTTTGCGAAGAAAAGAACAACTCCAGGTACCTCTTGCCAGAAGAGATGCCAGAGTGGTAGAGGTGCTGTTTTAAATGACACTTCAATCAGCCAAGCGGAGAACGGAGTATCCGGTCTCCCATCCAGCCTCGACATTAAACAGCCCAGGAGGGCAAAGGTGTTCCCCAACAAGGACGGAGGCTTCCTTATGCCGGAGAGACAAGCGCTCAGCTTTCGGCCTCCCCTGTTATTTGCAAGCAATAGATGGCTTGTCTCTGCGGCATGCTCAGAAGAGCTATTTTCGCCCACAGCCAAAATCAGCAACAGCAAATTAAACTGCAAACAATGAAGAGGGCGCCTGCTTTGCACGGCTAGAAACTCCGAAGAGGCAGCGGCGAAGACTGACTTTTCACTAGGGCAGAGGCAGGAGCAGCCGCCGCGGGAGATGGGGAAGCCCGTCCCGCCGCGCCCCACGCCTCTCTGCGCTTCGGCCCCGCACAGAGTGCGGGACGGGACCATGTACCCCGAGCCCGAAAACGGGGTCGTGGGGTCGCAACTGGCGGGATCCTCACATGTCCAGGCGCCGCGCGGCGGGTTCTCCTTGGCATAGGAGGCGACCAAGCGCGGCACAGGGCGCGGGCCGTCGGGGAGACCTGGGCGTTCCCGACAGGCGCTCGGGGACTGAGGAACGATGGGGGCAGGAAGGACAGTCCGGTCTTTGCTCTATCCTCCATCCTGGAGGCAGACCTGAGGTCTTTATCCTGGCCGCAAGCCGGGGTTCGACGTCCCCTTCCCAACCCTTCAGCTCTGACAGAGTGCGGAAGCAAAAAAAAACCCGGAGGCAAAAAACCCGGAGGCAGGCAGGGAAACGCGGAGGTAGAGAGTTAACGCGGGAGCCAAAGCACCTCCCGGCCTCGCTCCCGGCGCGCGCTTCCCGCGGGGCTCGGCGCCACCACCGCCCGCCTTCCCGCGGCTCTCACCCGGCTTTTGCAGCGGAGGTGCCGGCCCGGGTCCGAGTAGGTCCTGTCCACGGTGAGCGCCGTGTCGCTGCCCGGCATCGCGGCGCGGGAGCTGGAACTTTCCCGTATCCGGGGGACACGGTGCCGCGAACTGCCTGCGGTGCTCGGACTCTCCCCGGGAGCCGCGGCCGAGGGCGGCGCGGGCTGCTGCAGCTGTTGCCGACACCCGCGCGGTCGCCCTGCGCCGCCGCGGCCGCCACCGCCTCGGGGTGGTGGAGAAGGCGGCGCAAGAATGCGAGAGTCTCCGCCCTCTTCCCCTCTTCCCGCCTCACCCTTACGAAGACCCTTCTACAGGTGTTATTTCTCTGCCTCCCTCTGTTGCTGAAACTTGATTCCTCTCCCTCCTACAATGCCCTCTTTTTCTTCAAAAGATGAGAGACACCTACAGTATATATTAACTTATTTGTATGTTTATAATAAGAAATGGCTTTAATGGCAAGATGTTGAGGCTTGCCTTAAATGCCTCCTTTTATATTATTTTTTATTCAACATGCACTTATTGAGCATCTACCATGTGCCAGGCCCTAAGCTAGGGACCAGAGATTAAAAACAAATATATATATATATATTTTTAATTTATATTTATATATATATATATATATACATACCCCATTTTACATTTCCTTATAAGTGTAAACTACTTGAAAGTAACGACCATATCTTTTCAATTGGAGTCTAGACTACAAAGGTCTGATTGGTGAACAATTAAATATAAGTTGCCTAAACGAAAACTCGAAACACCTCGTTTTGTTATGTAGGGTGTACTAGTGGGTGACTGAGTTGAAATGTTTAAAGTGTAGCTGTTCCAGCCAGTAGCTAGAATGAGTTGTGACAAGCCTAGAGGGAGGGAGGAATTTGCTCCTCCTTTTCAAAGGCTTGGCGGAGCCTAGTGCAGGCTGAAGGAAACCATTGAGCATAAAAACAGAGGTACTTTTGGAAAACCTCACTCAAGTCATCAGTTTAGGGAGTGTCCTTGGGAACAGAAGAACATGAGGAACAGAAGGATATGACAGAAAAAGTGGGTGAAGAGCATGTGGTGCAGGGCTATACTTCAAGGGCTATTGGGTATTGGGCAGCTGCTGGAAGTTTTTGAACAGGAAAAAGACAACATCAGAATGGAAATTTAGGAAGAAGGTTTATCTGGTAGTGTGAAGCACTGATTGAAGATGGCTAAGGAACACTGGTTAGAAGGCCAGTGCAAAGACTGGGAACAACCTAAGTGTCTTTCAGAAGGAGACTGAGTAAATAAACTATGGTGCATCCATCCAGTGGAATAGACAACTTTAACAGAATGGGACCCCCTGGGTGGTGCAAATGGTTAACACACTTGGCTGCTAACCAAAAGGTTGGAGGTTTGAGTCCACCCAGAGGTACCTCAGAAGAAAGCCCTGGTGATCTATTTCTAAAAAACCAGCCACTGAAAACCCAGTTGAGCATAGTTCTACTCTGGCACCATAAGTTGGAGTTGCCTCAGCGGCAATTGGTTGCTGATAATAGAATGAGGCAGCTCTCTATGTATGGCTATGGAAATATCTCTAATACATGGTTAGGCGAAAAAAGAAACGTGCAGAATAATGTATATGGTATTTCACCATTAATGTAAAAACAGAATAGATATACATGCTTATGTATGCATAGTATATTTCTGGGTAATAAACAAGAAACTGAGAGGATAGATAAGACACTGGTACCAGGGGAGGGGAACAAGATAGCTAGAAGGCAAGGGTGAAAGAGAGATTAATTTTTCACTCTATATGCTTTTTAAACTTTTGAATGTTTGTATTGTGAATATATATTAAGTTTCCAGAAGGTAAATAAAGAGGCTAAACTTACAGAAGAAATAGAAAAATATAGTTCTAAAAGCACTCAAGAAATTGAACCAACAGTTTAAAATACCACACTCCCAATGTACATACAAGTACCACCGGGCCCAGAGAGTTTTTCAATAAGTTTTTCCAAAGCAGAGAAGAGATATGTCAAATGTTGGTGTGTGTGTGTGTGTGTAAGATTTTAGATAGGATGGCCAGAGAAGGCCTCTTTTACAAGGTGACATTTGATCAGAGACCTGAGAAGTGAGGAAGCTAGCCATGCAGATACCTGAAAATTTCAGACAGAAGGAACAGCAAATGCAAGGGCCCTGAAACAGGAACATTCTGGGGGTGTCCAAAGAAAAGCAAGGAGACCAGTGTTTGCTGGAAGGACAGTAGAAGATGAGGTCAGAAGTGTCAAAGGCCAGATCACAGACTTGGAAAATTCTGAGCAAAGCAATCACATGATTTGCTTTTTCACGTGGGGAAAAAAATTAGATCCTTATATCACAGCACACACACACTAAAATCAATACCGGATAGATTAAAGATCTACAGGAGAAAAAGCACAGCTTAAAATGTCAGAAGAAAATGGGAGAATATCATTATGACGGCACATCATAAAAAGCAGATCACAAAAAGCATTAACCATAAAGGTTTCACTACATTAAAATTTTAAAACTTCTACTTATGAACAGAAACAATAATAAAGTGAAAAGATAAGCCATAGACTGAACTTGAGCTAAAAAAAATTAATATGGATAAATTTCACAAACAATATTGAGAAACAACAAAAAGCAAGCCACAGAAAATTACATGTAGCATGATTCTATTCATGTAAAGTTAAAAAAATGCAAAAAAAAACCAACCTTTTTAAAAAGTATACAAAGATACACACTAAAACTATTAAGAAAAGCAAGAGCACGATTACACAAATTTCAGGAGTTTTCATCTCTGGTAGGAGGATAAAGAAGAATTCAATAGGAGAGAGGTACAGGAGGGTTTCATTATTATAAATACTGTTCTGTTTAGGAACACTAACTCTTGGTATACCAGATATGTATTTATTCATACACATACACACACACACACACACACACACAATTCCATAATACTTTAAAAGTTTAAAGGCAACAAAGACTCAAGGGATAGATGTGATGATGGTGTCCTGAATACTGGAATTTATGTCACCAGTGGAGTGCCTTCTCAAATAAAGACACATAATGGCACTTTTATAAGTATAAAGCTTGATATAAATGCAAGATAGCCTTTTATTATTAATTTAAAACACTGTGTCAACTTAACCTTTCAAAGACCAATTCTGAGAATCCATCTCTTAGTTTTCCCCCTAGTCGGCCTGATACCCAATTATTTTCATGAGCCGCTTAGGGCGATAGAAAAGATACTGCTCAGGTGTGTGTGTGTGTATGCACATGCATAACTTTAGAGGGGCCAAATTTGCTACCAAACCTAAGTGAGACCCCTGAAAAACCAAGGCTGGCCTTTAATCAGTGAACCAGCAGGCACACACTTCCCATTTCTATTGCTGTCTTGGTGTTCCTTAGAACTCTATCCTGGAAATGCTGACCCCCAGTGAGAAGGATGAATTAAACTTTATTAGACTTGCTTAAATTTCAATTAACAGAGGATGTTCTTTTTTAGATCACTTAGATTTATTTCATAAGCTACTTGCCCAAAAGCTGCTCTGCTGTGCACTCACACAAAATATTTTTTCACACAAATTAAATAGCACAAAAGCAAGAGCAAGCCCCCCAGAAAAGAAAGAAAACAAGCCGTGCTCATCATCATCTGGAGCTCCTTTTGGGAAGTAGCACTCAAGGGGAAAATAGACCATGTCCCTTCCTTTGGAGATAACACCTAGGGTTTTATCAGTCCTTTAGAGAAAGAGAGTAAATCTCTCCTGTCAAGATAAGAATTTTCTCTGCCTCTGATGACACCCCCAAAAGCCTCTCTCTGCAAAAAGTAAAGAAAAAAGAAAGTAACATACAGTTGGAACAACAAATAACACACAGGTACAAAACCTAGGCATGAAATAAGAATTTACTTCCAAAGTGTAAGAAACACAGCAAGTAGCACATGCTAAGCATCAAAGAAGTGGAACAGATCACTTGAGCTGTAATAGTTTAAGGTTTAGAATGATGAAAAAGCTTTAAGAAAACAGGTAGGATTACTCTGAACTTTCGTGGCGCATATATGCTATTTTTGCTGGCCCAGCATCCAACCCCTTATTCTGGAAATAGTCCCTGAGTTTTTCTTTGGGGACTCAACCCCCCCTACTATCAACCCAGGAAGTGGCTTAAGTGAGGCTAACCACTCGCCACCCCTAGCTCCAGAGAGACGCATGTGATATAGCTTTGGCCATCAGAGTCACCGTGACTTGTGCAGAGATAAACTCATGACCCAATCAGACCCAGAGTCATCCCTGAGACTTTTGCTGGAAAGAGCTGTGCCCTTTCACCGGGCATTGCTAAGAGAGTAGAATGCAAGCCTGCTGCTGTGATGGAAATCCTTGCCACCATACAAAGAGAGCCTCCCTGAGTGCAGTGCAGTGAATTACTTAACATAGCCTTTCTAGCCATAGTCTCTGTAATCCCACCAAATGACTGGGTGGGACTATGCAAATGAGGTGCTTGTGGTCCAACAAAGGGATGGGATAGCTTGGAGACTATGCAAATAAGGTGTATGGAACCCTAATGAGGGAACTGGTCAGTTTTGTCATCCTGTTAGGCTTAAAGGGAGAAGGAGAGAGAGAGAGAGAGGAGCTGTAATTCAGAAGACAGAGAGGCAGCAGAGGCAGCATAACCAGGACAGATGGGAGGAGCTGTGACACCACAGGTGGCGAGAGATGGCAGCAGAGGAACAGCCTCAGCAGAGACAGCAGAACCAGGAGACTGGCAGGAGATAGCGTGGTGGGTGTGCTGATCCATGGAGCAAGAGAGCTGAGAGCCTTTGGGTCGAGGCTTCCTGGTGGAGTGGGGTGCCGCCGGACACATATTGACAGAGCAATACTTGTAACACTTGCCCAAGCAGGGCAAAGGCCAGGCTAAGGGGGTCGAGGGCCAGAGAGAGACCTGCCTGAAGCATGGCTGATAAGAGGCTGTCCTAATTGAAGAACTATATCCTGAGTATTTCCTGATCCTGAATTGTAACCTGTTAACTTCACTAATAAACCCCACAATCCTGAGTATGGTCTGTGAGTTCTCTGTGGTCACTGCAACAAATCTCGACTGCTAACCAAAAGGCTGGCAGTTTGAATCCACCAGCTGCTACTTGGAAACCCTATGGAGCAGTTCTATTCTGTCCTATAAGGTCA